TGTGTGTGTGTGTGTGTGTGTGTGTGTGTGTGTGTGTACCTCTATTTTCCTGTGTGTATAAATGCATTTTTTTTGGGGGGGAGCATGTTTTCTATTTATTGTCCGTGGCTTTTCAGTTTTTTTAACTTAATTTATCTTAGACATTTCTCTGTATCAGTATTTATTAGCAATATCTTATTTTTAAAAATGACAAATAGTGTTTTAAATACTGTTTAATAGTAGAATATTGTTTAATAGTTCTCTACGGTTTCTTAGTATAATTTATTTTGCCTTTACCCATTTTAAGAGGTAGCTGACCAATGGCTTTGTTAAGTTTTTTTCTCTTGAAATAACCATTTTGAATTGATTTGTTTTTCATACTGTTTTCACAAGTTTTTGTTTTTTTTTCATCTGAAATCAGCTTTTGCATTGCTGTTAGGATGTATTTGCCAATGTAGTTAATTAAATGCAATTGTGACATAAATATTTAAATTTAAAAGAGGAAAGAGACTATGGCTTATTCTTTGTAAAATGTGCAAGGTACTCTGTCTTCTGTATGTGATTCTTCTAGGGCCTGCTTGTTCAACAAGTTAATGACCCTTTTCACAGAGTGAGTAGTTTTAGAGTATACCTAATTGAACTTCTAGTATCATATATATATCATTTGTCTCCCAACTACACATATTTAATGAAAATCTTATGTAACTTTTTGGATTAAAAGATTTAAGAGTTTTTATCCTTTTTAAATTCCTACCGTATTCCTTGCTTTTTTCAATTGCTGGTGACAATGATCTCTTCTCTTCCAGGTTGTTTTTGAGCACGTTCACTCTGGCAGTTTCAGCTGGGGCTGTTTTGCTTTTACCCTTTTCAATAATCAGCAATGAAATCCTGCTTTCTTTTCCTCAAAACTACTATATTCAATGGCTAAATGGCTCCCTGATTCATGGTTAGTATATATTGCTTAATATCACAATGAATGTTTTCATTTTTTACTGCACTGTATTTTTAGATTTGCCTTTTCTTAATTTCCTTCATAATTTGCATCTTCCTCCAATAAACCATGAGTCCTTC